TAATGATAACTATCATAAATCCTGCCATTTGATATAAATATTTAGAAGTTAAAAAGATATATAACTAATACCTATTATTCATATTGATAAGTATGAGCCGAAAATATGAATCTTTCTTAATAGCCACTCAGTATGACATAAATCAGCTCTTAAGGTAGATTTCAATAGTGCAAGTCAAAACCTCGAACAAATCTTTGGGAAATTTCATATTTTTGGGTGAATTGGCCTAAGAAGACGGTGATAAGTAGCCATTTATTTTTCCACAAGTCAGTAAAAGAACAACCAATGGGGCTGACAAAACTCATCATTTCACCGCTTTCAATCACTCTGATAGCCCCTTCAATATTCTTTCACATATCTAGAGAACACTACCTCCAAACTGGAAGTTCAAGAGTAGGATTTAAATGTTCTCTTTGGAAATCATTTAATCAAATCGAATTGATAAAATAGAGGATAACCATACCAAGTTCCTCGAGAGTAAGCCGACGAGGTTGGCCACGAAGCACTGGTAGCACATTTCGGCCCCATTCACCCATGAAGTTTCCTGGTGGTTGATATTGTCCAACTACAACAATTGTACGTCCATCTCGACACATTGCTTTTCCCATGCCCACCGATTTTGTATCCTTCCAAATAACCTGAGAAAAGTGACCTATTGAGAGTTGTCAAATGACGTCTAATTTTAAATCATACCGCATTTCATATTTTCCTGACCGTCGAAATTATAATGCTCAATTTCGTTATACCATAGTATCACAGTTTGAGCAGCTAAAATATTGGATTTGGAAGTGGCATATAATTAAAAGGAAAGATATTTGAAGTTCCATAGGCAAATTTAACAAACCCGAAAAGTCTGCCCCGAAACCAGATTGTTTGGCTAAATTTTCGCCAACATGAGGATTTCCACTGTGTTGAAAAGCATTCTTGCTAGCCAAAACTTCTGCATAGGCTTGGGCCGAACCCGCTAACTCAATGTCGAGCTTTAGTGGTGGGCACCCGTGAAGCTTCCTCAAACTGAAAAGTAAGCCAAATATTATTTTATTTCAATTACTTAATCCATTTAGAACCAATCGATTATTAATAAAACCCTTTAGTGCTGTTTTCTTAAGAGTTTGCTGGTATACATGCAGAAAATAGATTTGTAATTTGAAAATAAAATATCTTGTATTTAACATCTGACAATTTGATGATATGATGAAAAATGAATTGACAGACTGATCTGAAGAGTTGTTAGTGTCGTTATCCAAGAATCAACGAACAATTTAGGCACAAAACGAAACAAAAGTAATAAAGTGAAGTAATCTTATCAATACACAATTTTAATAAATAAAAGCTACCAAATATTAATAATCTATCAAAAAATTGAATAAAAATCAATCCAAGGCCTTGTCTGATTACCGAAATCTAAGACTTTTGTGCAATAATAAGCATTTGCGTCGGATCTTCTTTAATAGAACTAAATAAAATTTGTTACGGGAAACGGAAAGTGATAAATTATCCATTCAGAAATGATTTATTACCATATTAACTGTTTAAAAATTAATAACCATTTCGTTATGCTAATAAATTAAAAGCAAATTATTTAAGCGAATAAAATCAAGTAAATTATAAGGAATGACAATCTTAAGATGCAATTGAAGTTCTTGAGCTTGTAATAAATATTAGCACATTATAATAACCCTCTAATTATAAACTATACCAAAGGTATAATAGGGCTCTGTTTAACCATTGTAAATTATGATTTGTTTAAGGCTAGCGATTTGCAATACAGTGATTAGCGTTAGTAGAAAATAAATGAATAACTCGTGAAATTTGGGGATTCATTAGCATGAAAACTTGTGATTAAGAACTCACTAATTATGTGCCTTGACTCCTTCTTGATTAAAAGGTATATTAACTTTCATAACTGCTAGAGCACATGGCAGTATTTCTGAATATCAATCCTAAATAGCTAAATCCATCCAATCAGAATCTACTTTGTGAAATCCAGATGGAATCACAGGATTGGTGCGTCAGTTTCAAGTTTTTCATTTTTTGAAAAAAATCAAAATAATTAATATCATTCTATTAAACAATGAAAAAAGTTAATTCAATGATAGGCAGCTACAATTTTCTTAATTCAATTTGAAAACAAAATGACCCGAGAAACTCGAAAAAAGTGCCATATATAAATACCTGTCTAAAAAATTTTTATTTTAAATTGTAAATTTGGGGACAATTTTTAGGGTTGGTGATCGACGTTTAGTCCCAATATCCCTGCTAAAGTGAAATCACATCTTATTTGAGCAAAGTCGTTGTTGTTTACTTATTTATATAGGGAATAAAAGGTTGAACCAATATGAGTGGCATACAAGTTTCAAACACTACTTTGTATTTTGAAGTACGATTTTTGCTCATAATTGTTTAAATTAAATTTTTATGTTTTGAACGCGACATTTTCCGATAATAGGATTTTCAGGAAAACGAATTATTAATTAATTTGCTCGAAAAACTGATAGGAGGCGTCAGAATAAATATAATTGAAATATGAAGCGAATTGGTTAAACAAGCTTGTTTATGGTTAATATTTCCTTTCTAATGCGGGAAAATAGGCCCTATTCCACGAACAGAATTCCCGAAATCCGCATTTCTAATTGTTATTTTTTACATATAAAATAGTGTGATTTCTATATATTTAAAAATTCATTAATAAGTACAGAGACGTATACTCATGCGCAAAAAAGTCAAATTCAACCACTTTCACAGTACTCATCTTACCTTTTCTCCGTATCTGTGTCCATCTGTCCCTTTACATCTGTGAGTCTCTCTTTCTTTCGATTTTTTCTCACTTTGATGTTCCTCCTCCCCTCCGTGAAGTCCGAAGTCAGCTAAAGGGCTAATGATAAGTATCAAAAAGACTCCCATTTTAAATAGATTAATAAATAAATAATTACAAAGAATAGATGAAATTGCCACTTTTACTTAAAAGCAAATCTAATGCTAAAATTGAGAAACCAATATCTTGGTTATTTCTTCACTTTTGAAGACATTAAGTAATAATAACTTTAAAATCATTTAATGCTCAATAAAACAGTCATTTTAATTATTAGTCCTGTATCCCCTACAGAAGGACTTTACTTTTCTCATTTTTTTACTCTCCCAATGTCTGTATATTTTCCTCAAGTCTGGCCTTTAACACTATTGGAGCTCTTGTTTCCATTGGTCTGAACACTTTGAAACTAAATGAAAACTTTTTGTAAGAACGATTTGTTAATTGACGAAAGCTAACAACTGTGCAGC